CAGAGAGTTGCATAGGTGGAAAGGCAATTTGGGGGCGCCCTGGGAGCTGTAGTTTGGTTGGAAATGCTAATTGGAGATGCAGAGAGTTGCATAGGTGGAAAGGCAATTTGGGGGCGCCCTGGGAGCTGTAGTTTGGACTGCTGCCTGCTCACCGATGCCGGGCGCGAGGTCTGCGAGGACGTCGTGCCTGTGGAGTCGTCGGAGGGCGTCGAGGAGTGTTCCGGCGGTGGCGGCAGTGGGGCTGGCCCTCCTCTCCCAGTCCTGGAGGAGCTGTGCCGTGGGGTCCGGGCGGGCCTCGAAGGCGCGGATCTCGAGGAACTCGTAGCCCAGCTCCTCGGCCAGCGAGGCCCAGTCCGCCGCCACCGCCGCGCCCGGGTTCAGCAGCAAGGACAGGCGCCGCCGCAGAGAGTAGTTCAGCGCCACCAAGGGCGCCCCCCGCCAACACCCCTCTTCGCCCTCTTCCCCCGACGAGCAAGGAGACCCGGCCATGGCTTCTCCCTCCAGCCACGCTCGCCCGCCCGCCCTGCCTTCCTTCCTTCCTCCTTCCGCCACTCTCCCATCGAGGAGGAGGAGGAGGAGCGCCAAACCGGTTTCGCTTTCGGTGCGCCCGGCACCTGTGGAGGTGTGGTTTTGCAAAGGTCCTTCCGCTTTCTCTGCTTTGCCAAAGCCCATGAATTGAGCCAGATGTGGGGGGTCAAGGTGTATTCATTCCTGTGGGGAAGGGGATTGGATGCAGCCACTTCCTGATCGATTCATAGAATCATAGAATCAAAGAGTTGGGAGAGACCTCATGGGCCATCATCCAGTCCAACCCCATTCTGCCAAGAAGCAGGAATATTGCATTCAAATCACCCCTGACAGATGGCCATCCAGCCTCTGTTTAAAAGCTTCCAAAGAAGGAGCCTCCACCACACTGCGGGGCAGAGAGTTCCACTGCTGAACGGCTCTCACAGTCAGGAAGTGCTTCCTCATGTTCAGATGGAATCTCCTCTCTTGTTGTTTGAAGCCATTGTTCAAACATTGACTCTATTATTTATTATTATTTATTATTTCGAGGTTTTATATACCGACCCTCTCACGTTCAAAGAGGGATTCGGACCGGTTCACAACATGTGTTAACATACAAAAAATATACAATAACAACACAATGCC